GGGCCAAAAAAGATACAAGAAAGTGTACCGAGTATTGATTTTAAGTGTACAGAGTATTGCAAAATAGCCCAACTTTAGTGTACAGTGTATTGCAAAACAAAATGAGCGCATTAGTATGGAAAATCGATATTTTTGTCTAATTTTCACGTCTGTTTATCGATTCCATTACATTCTTCTGCTGATAATGTACTGTTCATATGATATTTATTCAAATATTCAGATTCAACAATGCATTTTCAGTGTTATTACTGTTCTTTTCCTACGGGCAAATACAGAGATTTAATTTCCCATTTGATTGAAAATCACACTATGGATGAAAAAGTGTGTGCAGGGTCGGAAGCAGGGTCGGAGCAGGGTAGAACCATCAAAATTGACGATAAAAAATCTTTTAAATGCATGTCTCAAGAGAGACCCATCTCTGAAAAGAAGGAGAAGAAAAAAACATATTTAGATGACATTAATAATAGGTTTTTACAGAAGAAACATATCGACACACTTAGTAAAATATTGGCCCGAGGGCTTATGCCGTCCAAGCATGCCGATATCGTCTAAACCTTTTACTGCATGAGCATATTGCGAAAAAATCCTGTTTTCATTGATTTAAGCCTCTTTTACAAGTTCAAACTGCTATGAAACTATAAAAAAATGCTTCAATACTGATCAAACTGGGCACAATTGTTGGCTGGACCATAGCCTGTGGAACACCATGCTTAATTTTAAATTTCCAGTTACCATGACAACGGGGGGACGTCTCAAAATTGCCAAAAAAACTCTTTTTTGCGTTGTTTTTTCCCCTTTAAGGTGCAGAAACTTCTCAATTGATTGAGATAAAGTCTAAGATTTTCGGCGTTGATTACACGGTACGTAGGCCATTTTAGCCCCCCCAACAAGTCCCAAATCTTCTTGGCGATAAGAGGGGCTACTGTCCCACTTCCAACCCCCAAACAGAAGGGGGCACACCCCCCTGTGGCACCCCCTTGATGTACCTTTTTAATGGGGGGTGGTGGCGCCGAAAAAGTGATCATTCTTTTGAACAACATTTCTCAAACTCAAAATTTCTAAATAGCGCATGTTTTACACTATTTGAGGCCTCAAAAGGGTTGGGGTGTAAAGCCTTCAAATATGATAAACAAGAAAAGGAAAGGAAAGGCGGCGTTCAATGAACGCAACCCCCCTACGACCCAGCAACACGAACCAGTGGCAATGAGCCCAGGCGGACCCCAAACAAAAACAGGACAGCACAAAACAGCCCTAAAACACGTCTTTATGATGTAAAAGGTAATAAGGAACATAACATTCTAATTGTATCTGCTGCCCTTTATCATAATCTTATCAAAATCCATTATTCGATTTTTTGAGCTGTACCCGGTCGGCAGTCATACGGTAACTCATTGCCAATGACGTAACACATTTCATGTGCAGACAGTCTGCCGTTGCTAGAGTGCAGGTACAAAATGACCGAAAGCTACCTTTATATGGATTTTTGGCATAGTAGAAAGTCGGTTGATAATAGATATTGGCACACTTGTTCAATACCATCTAATTTTGACAATCTTGAGGCAGCATTAATGCACTTTGGATGCTTTTTTTACTATTTAAAGTAAGATATGCAATAATTATTAACAAATTCTGGAAAGGTTGATCCTTCGATAGAAACGAGAACTTTATTAACACAGAAAATTGCTGAGTTCGTTCGACTGAAATTTTTCATGAACAGGAATGAAAATCTGGATTATTCGCAGATGTTTCCAGTAAAGTACCTCCGAACTCTGCATATTCTGCACATATAGTGTAAATAAGTATACACAATAAGAAATATTTAAAATTAAATGTGGTAAATACTCTGTGTTGACTACTTGCATTTACTCTATATTGATAACCAATACTCGTTACACTAAAAAGCAATACTCGTGACACCGGCGGACAACTCCAACGCAATACTCGGTATACTGACATGTGTATTTATTCTCAAAATGCACTGTCATCTGGGGTTCTATTGCTGATTGAACATTTACATCATAAACATCATCATCATTATCACATTTCACTCGATTTAAGTTTTTCTTTTAAGGAAGTATATGCACAAAAACATCAAATTTGACTGATCCGAGCTCATTTATCACGTGAGCAAAGAGACGAATTTTACCTCCTTATTACATTTCAAAGCTATTTCTCAACATTTGTAGGGTTTCAGCAACTAGAGAAATTATCGAAGTATTTGTTTGTCTATAAAATTTATATCAAACCAATTCCAAATGACTAAATATCGTCACTGAACTTACCTCCTTCCTCGTTCAAAGTCGCGAAATGGGATGAAAGTCTTCATAATATCGAGCAATATCCGGGGTACGGTATACCGCAGTGGTTCTATTATAAAATTAGTTTCAGTCTAAATTATATGACAACGAATGCCAATTGATGTTTATAACAATCAAAATCTTATAACGAAACAATAATGATAATGATGTGGGTGACTTCGCGTGGGTTCGATAAATTAATTGGAAGGCTATTCTTTCTATCATTTTTTTTTCCTTTTAGATCAATTTTGTAAAAAGAACTAATCTCACTTAAACAGAAAGAATATATTGTATTTACGAAAATGATAAAGAGCAGATTGATTACTTTGTCTTCTGATATACCTATGAACATATAGTCAAACTATACATATTCAATTATGTTCATGGTTAATTTAACAAGCATGGAGGATAGACAAGTACGCTGCTATATTAGTATTCTACACATGCTGGTATGAGATATGGTGTCAGAATGTTTCCATCAAAATAAGTCGTTTGCTTATAACTTATTTCCATAATCAATTCTAGTGCAATCGGTACATTAAGTAGTGTAATCCGTATCGGTTACTTATAATAATCGGTTTTATCTATTTTAATACAGTAACATAAATATTAAAGAATTGCAAAAATATTTTTCAAAACAAAGAAGTTACGTATTTAGAACTTCTCTTTCTAAATAAAGTCAGACATTTACGGTCTGATTGAGCCTGTTCATGGGCGGTACTGGTTAGTGCAAGTTACCGTCCAAGCCCCCTATATGACGTTTTTTTTTTTTAAAGCAGGCCACATATCCTTAAGGTGATTCAACATTAATTAAACAGCTGTAACGCATAACAAAATTGTATAGTAACTAATAATTAACAAAACAACCAATAAGCGTACATCGGGGGACACGGAGGATTGTATATTTTATATTAATGACTCGAATAAAAAAATGGAAAAGCAACAAGCAATAAAAGTTAAATTAATTGCTGCTACACTGTTACGTTGTTTGTAAATGATTTCAAAATATGAAAATAAAAAAACAACTAAATAACCGTTAGAATGTCATAAACATACCTATAATTGTACAGATATAACACCGTTGTAAAAAATATAAGATTTGTTTTTCTTTGTTAAAGAGAAAAGAATAGGAAACTGATACTGCCTACAACAATTACTAATTCGCTGCATTGTAAAAAGGTTATTTATAAGATTAGTGAGATAACAAATGGTAAAAAGCTAATTCAATAAAAATACGAAACCCTAAAATCAGTGAATTCAAAAATTTTAACATCCAGATTAGTATGTCATCAAACGTATAAGATATTGCTTAATATTATGAACATCACATAATAAAATATAGGGGACACCTGCTTCATAATTATCAAAATAAAACGGAAATGGAAAGAAAGTCGATACATTTGATGTTTTGAAAGTCTCTTTGAAATGAATACTAAGATCACGCACATTAAATACAATCACATCCTACTTACAAGTCATTTGATAATTTTGTAATTTCACTATTTAAAGCATTTACTTGTTAAAACACACATAATACATTTTATAAACATGTTTTTTGTTTTTTTTTAAGTCAACTTTATGATTGTATTATGCATATATATGATATAATAATCATGTTTTTTTCCTCCAAAGATTGTGGATATTACAGAGTATCAAATTTAAACATATATATGACGTTTAATAAGAAACATTTTAAAAGGCAAAAAGTCGTACAATAATATACTGTACCAGTATTATATTGCAAGATACTATGTAGTTAGGGTTAGAGAAAGTAACGTAAAATATTTAACAAAGATCAAAATTGAAGGGCGACATTCTATGAACACAGACAAGCAAGGCACAAAACCAAACAGGAGAGGACACAAGAGCGAGGCAATTTAATGACAACGGTGTAGGATATGTAAACATGGAGTAGAGGGCGGGCAAAATTTTGAAACATTTGGGGATGCGGACGAAAAATACACGGAGAAATAAAAACAGTGTTAACACAAAAAAAGCATGTAGCAATACACATGATATACATCTTAAAAAAACAGAGAGGTCGCCGCCTTGGAAAAGTCATTAACATAAGCACTGCTGTAAAAACTTTAATGATTAAACCTGACTGTTAGTCTCAAAATGTTTCCGTCAAATCGTTATTTGCATTTATTTTTAAAACTGCAGCCATGTAACAAGACTGTTAAAAATTATATATCAGGCATTTGACATGTCTTCATCCGTTTAGATTCTTGTTTTCGTTAACTAAATCAAACACATTCAAATTCAATTAAAATGTGCATAGTTCGATCATGTTTCATGCATTGTTATACAATATATTATTTTTAGATATGTATTAAAAACAAAGGAAAAATTTATAAACCAAAATACTGAAAAAATGTCCTCATTACCAGATACATTTTGTACCCCGGGGAGGGGAAGGGGCACGGAAATCCTTTTCGCTTTTTTCAAGTTTAAAACTCGCCATGAAAAATTGATTGTTCACCTTCCCTTTACAGGCATTGACAAAGGGCGCTGGGTTTTTTAGTAAAACTGATTCTTTTTAAACTTTTTATCGAGATGCGGAAAAAACCTGATGTGTAGCCCGTTCGGATCGGCTGAAAAAGGTTTTGTTTTCTTTCATGATTTCAAATGGTTTGTGACATATTATCCGACTTTTGATAGCAATAACCCCTATCCTCAAAAAAAATTTGAGTCATCTCCTTCCTTATGGAAATTTTCCAAAATATATTCGATTGATTTTCTTGTGGAACTGTCAAATAAAACAAATAAACAAATTCAACTAGTTATAGCATTCTATTTGAAATCCTATAAGCTAAGATTGATTTGAAAACAACTGCTATGTAGTGATATTTTTTAAATAAACAAACATATTATTATAAAATGAACAATAAATCTTAAATTAGTATAATATTGTAACAGACCTGATGTTTCCACAGTCTTTATTCCATTGAGGTGCAATACAGCAGGTAATGTTGTTGATATTATCTTGTTGAAGACGGTTAAGTTAAACATAGGAGGTTCTGTAATATTGACAAAAACGGGAACGCTATGACATATATAGATTTCGTCAAGTAACATTTTAAAGAGAAATGACACCTTTTTAATATGTAGAGAAAGTGTTGTGGAAAAATTCTGATAACGCATTTACGTTCCAGATAATTTCTCGGTTGTGGAATTTATTAGCTTTTAAAACTAGAACAATAGCCATCCTGGGACACATTTGATGCCTTTCGAGCTTGGCTATAATATACACGTAGTTGTATTGTTAAATTAGTTGATTATTATTTTCTAAATATCTCAAATATAGACCAATACAATTAATTAATTAGCACCTTACCGAAGTTGACGTACATGGGGTATTATACTTTACATGGTGCTTTGTCTGTTAACTGATAAAGAATTCGTAAAAAAAATCATAGTTCAATAATGAACACAGCATGAAAAGTTAAGATATATACAGTAAACTATATTTCAAACCAATAAGATGAATAATCATATGTTTCAGAAAAAGTATTGTAGACGTCAGAATTGAGACATAAAAATCAGCGGAATTTCGGAGTGTATCTTTTTATTTAATATGTTTGATATAAAAACTGAAACTATAATTTTATGTTTGTGTTAGTGTCCAAACATACCAAAAGCTTGTTGGTCAACACTAAAAAAAAAACTAAAAAAAAAAAAAATTTTCATAAAAGCATATGTCTCTGTTTTCGGTAACTCCGGAATATTGATATTTTTTAAACACACGAAACTTATGTTTAGCTTATATTATGGTAGACATTTAATTAATTTGACAGTCCTAGAATATCACTTCATTTTTAATATATTTCAATGTAAACATTATGGCAATTTAGATACACATATCTTACAAATTGAAGTAATACAGTTTAAGATCTTCATTTCCGTTCATTTTTATAATTTTCCCCTTGAGTCGGCAATGTCCACCTTATGATTGCCATAAAAGTGCGACAATTCGTACTTGAAAGGGTCTGAAACCGACTTTTATGTAGATATTATGACGAAAATAATCAAGTGTTGAAATATATTGACATTATAGATATGACCAACCTGGATTCATTTCAGTATCATAATGGAATACCATCAGCTGTAAGAAAAGACAATAAAAATTGCAATCGTTTACAATATTTACATGTACAACTGTATTAAGTTAATAGGCATGTGGAATTTATGTTTTTCCTTTTTATAATATCAAAATGTTCTGAACGGCTATAATAATAGAATGTTTTTAACCAAGGCGAAGAAATGTTCCACAAAATGTATCTTATTCCAGAACGAGTGTTAACGAAGTACGATCATTCAGTACTAGAGAACTTCTGACTGAAAGAAGCACAGTCATGTTGCATGTTTGTGGTTGTACTTATGTTACTGCTTACTACACGTTTCCCTTAGTTGTTGCCATGTAAATGATTGTCTTTGGAACTTCTCTTAATTTGGTGATTTTCACATATAAACGACTCTTGTAAGTAGAATATACCATAAAGGTATCAATATATTTGATATTGTTTTTATGCAATGCATATCCTTTGTTTACATAAAGCGTTCGAAACATCTCTGTTGCCTGACTTTAAATAGGATAAAATCACCTGTATGCATGCGTGTGTTGGGGTTGTTTAGTATTTTTTATTTTTATGTTCTACATTAATAACCTTCTGATTAAATGGTCCGTCATGGACATGCTTGGAGTTTTTGTCAGTAAAATATGATAATAATATCGAATAAGTTTTGTTCAGTCCACGAAAACACCATTTTAAATCATAAAGTTAACATATAGCAGTTATAATAAAATGCTAGAATACATCAAATTAAATTAGAAAAAAAATGTAGCAATACATTGTTTATTCGTTAACCTGTAGCAACGACGTTTTATCTAAAATAAATAAAATAAAATAAATACTGAAAATCTAACACGATAGTTCACCTACCTGGCGAACAAAAGCGTTTAACACATCAACTGCTTCAAAGCAATTTTCATTTTGTGTCGTGTCTTTGTCATATGCCAATGTCAGATTTTGAAGAATTTCAGATTTCCACCCAGCTGATTGAAGACTCTCATCATTGAAACATAACCTCGATTTCACTGGCCGTTGTCTTATTAGCCCATACCATGTTATGATAAGAGTCACAAGTATAACTTCGAGCACAATTGCAGATGCAACCAAGCACTTTAATATTCTTTTTGTGTTCTAAAATCAGAAAGAACTGACATTTTTCTAAATGTATAAATTATATTAAGTAATTTTCAAAGCTGGCAAATTGTATTTATGTTTGAAAAGTCGAACACTGTAATTGACTTGACAGACAATCAATTGATGTTTGTTGGTGTTAAAAGTAATTTTAAAGGATAATGTGGATATCTTAAAATAAATATAAAAAAATAGTATATCCACCAATCTTCCACACTTACTATTTCTTTAAAATTTTTAAAATACTTTATGTAAAAAATGAATTCCAACAAACGAGCAACAGAGAGGTTTTATAAACAAATTTATAAAGAAAAATAAATAAGCTAAAACTAAAATGAATACAATTATTATGTTGTAAATCTTTTACTCATTATTCAATTCCTTTCAATGACAAAAATAAAAAAATCAGCATTGTATCAAAAAAAATTAAAATTTTGCAGATATTACATTTATCATAAAAAATGTATGCCGACGACTTTTTAATAAAGATGAAGTCACATAGACATAAACTTATGAAGAAATATTTGATACTGTAGTGATGTGTATGAGTGTGTTTTGTTGTTGTTGATTTTTTTTTCAGATTTTTAAAATACATCTTTGTCACCAATGAAAGTGTTATGTTTCTCTGAATGTTTGTCTTTAAAAGAACTTTTAGTAAATAATCACGACGAATGAAGGACGACCTGTCGTTCAGAAGGACAACCTAAATATCAGCTGCATAAAAGGCTAGTGTCTAGGCCGGTTAAGTATTAATATAAATCAAAAAAATAATAGTAATATAACAAGCTTCTTTCCCCATTATAGTGCAAGACAGCAGGAAAAAAACGACTTTTGAGACTGACTTAATATTACAAATATATAATTTACTTTATAAGTTAACAGCAGCTTTTTGAATTGACAGTTATTGATAGACATCAGCATGACGACATACATAGTTTTAATGACGGTCACAAAGTTAATCATCAGCATTTTGCCCTCAGATGCTGTAAGTTGTTCGTTTTACTTTTGTTTATCTCAAACATGTTACTTATATAAAGGTTAAAAAGTCACATTCTAGTTACAATTAGTATGCCCCCCTTCGAAGAAGAGGGGGTATATTGTTTTGCTAATGTCGGTCTGTCGGTCTGTCTGTCTGTCTGTCGGTCTGTCGGTCTGTCCGTCGGTAGACCACATGGTTTCCACTGATTATCTTGAAAAGTATTTATCACAAAGTCTTCATATTTCACATAGTGATTGGTCATAACTAGTAGATGACCCCTATTGATTTTAGGGTCACTAGGTCAAAGGTCAAGGTCACAGGGACCTTAAATGTCAAAATGGTTTCCGCTGATTATCTTGAAAAGTATGTATCACAAAGTCTTCATATTTAACATAGTGATTGGTCTTCACTAGTAGATGACCCCTATTGATTTTGGGGTCACTAGGTCAAAGGTCAAGGTCACAGGGACCTTAAATGTCAAAATGGTTTCCGCTGATTATCTTGAAAAGTATGTATCACAAAGTCTTCATATTTCACACTAAGATTGGTCATCACTAGTAGATGACCCCTATTGATTTTGGGGTCACTAGGTCAAAGGTCAAGGTCACAGGGGCCTTAAATGTCAAAATAATTTCCGCTGATTATCTTGAAAAGTATATATTACAAAGTCTTCATATTTCACACAAAGATTGGTCATCACTAGTAGATGACCCCTTTTGATTTTGGGTGTCACTAGGTCAAAGGTCAAGGTCACAGGGGCCTTAAATATCAAAATGGTTTCCGCTGATTATCTTGAAAAGTATGTATCACAAAGTCTTCATATTTCACATAGTGATTGGTCATCACAAGGGGATTACCCCTATTGATTTTGGGTCACTAGGTCAAAGGTCAAGGTCACAGGGGCCTTAAATGTCAAAATGGTTTCCGCTGATTATCTTGAAAAGTATGTTTCACAAAGTCTTCATATTTCACATAGTGATTGGTCATCACTAGTAGATGACCCCTATTGATTTTGGGGTCAATAGGTCAAAGGTCAAGGTCACAGGGGCCTTAAATGTCAAAATGGTTTCCGCTGATTATCTTGAAAAGTGTGTATCACATAGTCTTCATATTTCACATAGTGATTGGTCACAACTAGTAGATGGCCCCTATTGATTTTGGGGTCACTAGGTCAAAGGTCAAGGTCACAGGGGCCTTTAATGTCAAAATGGCTTTCGTTGATTTTTCCTTAATTGAACACTTCCATGTACCCATTTTTGGCAAGTTTCTGTAATAAAATTACCAATTATGTGAGTCAATGGCTAGAAAGGGGGGTATATGTGTCGTTCAACATTCTTGTTTTATCATATATTTGAATGATATCTGTTTGATAATAACCAACTAGTAATAAGTTATAACAAGAGGGTCATGATGGCCCTGAGTCGCTCACCAGAAACAACTGCTTTTCGGTGTTGGAAATTATTTTTCAAAAGAACTTGCTGAAAGGCAAGTACAGCTCTTTTGGCAAGTTCAGCTCAACTTTAACTTGCCCCTCTAGTAATATACTTTCACAACACTGATTGTTTCAGCTTGTTTTTCATAATAAACAATGAGGCCACTAAGATGGCCTAGATCACTCATCTTACCCATCATTTCATTATTCACTATATAAATTGTAATATTTTGCCCTAATATTTTGGAAAGGCTTTGTTAGAAATATGTTTGTTGCAAGTTTGTTCCTATGAGACTATGCAGAACAAATGACCACTAGAGCAGGATTAATTTTGACTGGACAATTTTTTATAACTTTCTTTTAATGAAAACTCAAAATGTCACATGCAAAACATGTAAGGTGTAGATGTTTGAAGTTAACAGTTTTTGGACAATAATTTTTTTATACATTCTATATGGTAACATAAATGTACCTAAAAAAGACAATAGGTCAAACATTGTAAAAAAATATGAAAAGTAGGCCAGTTGATATCAAAAATCTATTCAACATCAGAAATTATACCTCTAGTCCAAATTTCAAGTCTCTATGTCAAAAAACACAAGAATGAAGGTCAAATTATATTAAAAGTAGGTCAGTTGATATCAAACTTCATTTCGGCATCAGAATTTACAAACCTGGTCCAAATTTAAAACCTCAATGTCAAAATACAAGAAAGTAGGTCAAATGGTGTAAATAATACCTAAAGTAGGTCAGCTGGTATCAACATTGAATTCAACATCAAAAATTACACAAATTACACCCATAATCCAAATTTCAAGTCTGTACATAAAAGACAAAAAAAGTAGGTAAAGCGATATCAAATATATCAAGTAGGCCAGTTCATATCAAAATTCAATTCAGGATCAGAAATCAAACCCCTTGTCCAAATTTCCAGCAGGTACATCAAAAAACAACAAACTAGGTCAAACAATATCAAATAATAATATCAAAAGTAGTCAGTTGATATCTTAATTCAATTCGCATCAGAGATTACATTCCTGGTCCAAATTTCAAGTATCTGTACATCATTCCAAATTTCAAGTCTCTGTTCATCAAAAACAAGAAAGTATGTGCAATGGTTTCAAAAATATCAAAAACAGCTCAACAGATGCCAAAATTCAATTATGCACATGAAACTCAGGTTCAACAGTCTGTCCCAAAATTAATTGAAATGTGCTTTCTCCACGTTTAAATCTAATTCAACAAAAAAAATAAAACAAATACAATTTTTAACAACATTCAATAAAAAAATGAGCATACAAACTCATCCTAGTTAGTAAAGTACAGGAGAAACAAATTTTATGTTCTTTAGGCCTAATTTTTTTCCTGGTTAATGACCTACAACTGACCTTACAATGATGCAATATGATGTCCGAATTCCAGAGCTGAAAGATATTTACACATCATAAACAGGTCATGACCCAAACCATTGAAATTTATGAAATTCTTACTGAAAATGTCTTATTTGGATAAAAGAATGAATAAACTATGTATGGGAAGCTGCAAATGCTATTATAGGCCAAGTAAAGATGGTGTTTGTTATAAAAAAAAAACAAAAAAACAAACAAAAAAAGTTTTTTTAATGACACTATCATTATATTTATAATGTGACCACCTATAGTGTGAAGAGTTTTAAACATAACATATCTACTTTGAGTGAAGTCAAAACACGTTTATTTTATAAGAGACTGTGTATCCATTGTCAATATTTTCTAATATTAAAATTTGAGCATAGAATATCTTTAAACTTTAATTTGAAGAAATGCCATGTGCTATTGCATTTAAGCTTTAGCTTTAACAGGGCCAATCATATTAATATGGGCAAACTTGATAAAAGACTACCCAAGAATGCTACAGACAAAGTTTGGTCATCATCCATCAATTAGTTCTGTAGATGAAGATGTCTGATCGTTTTTCTATTTTTAGCCCTAGAGACCCATAAAAGGGGCCAATCAAATTAATATGAGCAAACTTGATAAACGACTACATAAGAAGGCTACAGACAAAAATTAGTGATCACCCATCGATTAGTTCTGTAGAAGGAGATGTTTAAAGGTATTTCTATTTTTAGCTTCGGCCAATGGAATTAATATGAGCAAACTTGATAAGAGACTACCCAAGAATGCTTCAGACAAAGTTTGGTGATCATCCATCAATTAGTTCTGTAGAAGAAGATGTCTAAAGGTTTTTCTATTTTTAGCCCTAGAGACCCCTTAAAGGGGACAATCAAATCAATATGAGCAAACTTGATAAAAGACTACCCAAAGAATGCCACAGACAAAGTTTGGTGATCATCCATCAATTAGTTCTGTAAAAGAAGACGTTTAAAGGTAATTCTATGTATAGCTATTGCGGCCCTTAAAAGGGGCCAATTAAATTAATATGGGCAAACTTGATAAAAGACTACCCAAGAATGATACGGACAAAGTTTGGTGATCACCCATCAATTAGTTCTGTAGAAGAAGATGTCTAAACGTTTTTCTATTTTTAGCCCTAGAAACCCCTAATAGGGGCCAATCAAATTAATATGAGCAAACTTGATAAAA